GTGGCCTCACCAGCAGATCCTCCGCCGCCACCGCCTCGTCGAACTCGGGGTCCATGGCACCCGGAAGAGAAGGCGGAAGTGACGGCGGAAGTGACGGCTTATCCCCGCCCCTATCCTCCTCCCCGCTCCGCTATTGGCCGCCCCTGGGCGCGCCGCGCCGCCATTGGCCGGAGCGCGCGTGCGCCGCGCCGCGATTGGCTCCGCCCCACGTCAATCATCCGTGAGGCGCCGCCATGGCCGAGTACCGGCTGAGGGTCCGCACCGGCTCCGAGCCCGGCGCCGGGACCAGCGACGCCATCGCCGTGACGCTGCTGGGGAGCCGCGGCCGCAGCGCCCGGACCGCGCTGGACCGATGGGGACCCGACTTCCAGTGCGGGGCGGTGAGGGAGGGCCGGGGGCGGGCGGGGAGCGGGGGCTGAGGGGGGCTGGGGGGGCTGGGGGGATTTGGGGGGATTTTGGGGGGATTTGGGGACATTTGGGGGGATTGAGGGGGGTGTGAGGGGGGTTTGAGGGGGGTTTGAGGGGGTTTGGGGGAGATTTGTGGGGTTTGAGGGGGTTTTGGGGGGGATTTGTGGGATTTGGGGACATTGGGTGCGGATTTGGGGGGTTTTGGGGGAGATTTGTGGGATTTAAGGGGGTTTAGGGGGGATTGAGGGGGTTTGGGGGAGGTTTGTGGGGTTTGAGGGGGTTTAGAGGGGATTGAGGGGGGATTTGAGGGGGGTTTTGGGGGAGGTTTGTGGGGTTTGAGGGAGTTTGAGGGGGTTTGGGGAGGTTTAGGGGGGATTGAGGGGGTTTAGAGGGGATTTGAGGGGGTTTGGGGGAGATTTGGGGGGTTTGAGGGGGTTTAGGGGGTTTTAGGGGGTTTAGGGGGGATTGAGGGGGTTTGGGGGAGGTTTGTGAGGTTTGAGGGGGTTTGCGGGGGTTTGGGGGGGATTTGTAGGGTTTGAGGGGGTTTTGGGGGAGGTTTGAGGGGTTTGAGGGGGTTTAGGGGGGATTTGAGGGGGTTTAGGGGAATTGAGGGGTGATTTGAGGGGGTTTTGGGGAGATTTGTGGGGTTTGAGGGGGTTTAGGGGGGTTTGGGGGAGATTTGTGGGGTTTGAGGGGGTTTAGGGGGCATTGAGGGGGTTTTGGGGAGGTTTGAGGGGGTTTTGGGGGGGATTTGTGGGGTTTGAGGGGATTGAGGGGGTTTAGGGGGGATTGAGGGGGTTTGGGGAGATTTTGGGGGGATTTGGGGACATTTGGTGTGGATTGAGGGGGTTTTGGGGGAGATTTGGGGGATTTAAGGGGGTTTAGGGGGGATTTAAGGGGGTTTAGGGGGGATTTGAGGGGGTTTGGGGGGGATTTGAGGGGAGATTGGGGAGGTTTGGGGGGGTTGAGGGGGCTTAGGGGGGATTGAGGGGGTTTAGGGGGTTTGGGGGGGATTTGAGGGGTTTTGGGGGAGATTTGGGGGGTTAGAGGGAATTTGGGGGGGATTTGTGGGGTTTTAGGGGGTTTAGGGGGGTTTGGGAGTATTTTGGAGGATTTTGGGGGGATTTTGGGACATTTGGCGCGGATTGAGGGGGGTTTGGGGGAGATTTGTGGGGTTTGAGGGGGTTTAGGGGGTATTTGAGGGGGTTTAGGGGGGGTTTGAGGGGGTTTGGGGGAGATTTGTGGGGTTTGAGGGGGTTTAGGGGGGATTGAGGGTGGATTTGAGGGGGTTTTGGGGGGGATTTGGGGGGTTTGGGGGGATTTGAGGGGCTTTAGGGGGGATTTGGGGGATTTGAGGGGGTTTAAGGGGGTTTGAGGGGGTCTAGGGGAGATTTGAGGGGGTTTGGGGGGATTTGAGGGGGTTTAGGGGGAGGTTTGCGGGGTTTGAGGGGGTTTAGGTAGGATTTGAGGGGGTTTGGGGGGTTTGAGGGGATTTGAGGGGATTTTTGGGGGGATTTGGGGACATTGGGGGGGATTTGGTGACATTTGGGGAGGATTTAGGGGGATTTGAATTTAGGGTGGATTTGGGGACGTTTGGGGGGATTTGGGGACATTTGGGGGGGATTGGGGACATTTGAAGACACTTGGGGACATTTGGGGACATTTGGGGGGGATTTGGGGACATTTGGGGGGGTTTGGGGACATTTGGGGGGGATTTGGGGACATTTGGGGGGATTTGGGGACATTTGGGGACAGTTTGGGTGTCCCGGGGGGGGTTTAGGAGAGGCTTGAAGACATTTGGGGTCACCAAAATGTCCCCAGGTGTCCCCAAATGTCCCCAAAGGTCCCCGAAAAGGGACCAAGGTGTCCCCAAGAGGAACACAGGTGGCCCCAGGTGTCCCCAAATGTCCCCAGGTGTCCCCAACCCCCCAGAGGGGACCCGGTGGTGGCAGTGGCAGTCAGGGCGTGGCCGGGCGGGTGACACGGTGGCGTGGGTGGCCCTGGGGACACGGGGGGTGGCCCTGGGGACACGGGGGGGTGGCCCTGGGGACACGGGGACGGTGTCGCCATCGAGGGCGGGGCAGGGACACCACGGGACACGGCGGGGGTGGCAGCGGGGACACAGAGATGGTGACAATTGTGACACGGCGGGGGTGGCAGTGGTGACACAATGGGGGTGACAGTGGTGACACAGAGATAGTGACAATGGTGACACAGTGGGGGTGGCAGCGGGGACACAGAGATGGTGACAGTGGTGACACAATGGAGGTGACAAAATGGCGGTGACAGTGGTGACACAGAGATGGTGACAATGGTGACACAATGGAGGGGACACAGTGGAGGGGACAGCAATGACACAGCGATGGTGTCAGTGACGGTGACAGTGGTGACACAGTGGAGGTGACAATGGTGACACAATGGGGGTGGCAGTGGTGACACAGCGGGGGTGACACAATGGGGGTGGCAGCGGTGACACAGCAGGGGTGGCAGCGGTGACACAACAGAGGGGACAAAATGGAGGGGACAGTGGTGACACAGAAATGGTGGCAGTGGTGACACAACGGGGGTGGCAGTGGTGACACAGAAATGGTGACAATGGTGACACAATGGCGGTGACAGTGGTGACACAGTGATGGTGGCAATGGTGACACAATGGAGGGGACAGTGGTGACACAGTGGAGGTGGCAATGGTGACACAATGGAGGTGACAATGGTGATACAATGGGGGTGGCACAGCGGGGGTGACAAAATGGAGGGGACAGTGGTGACACAGTGGAGGTGGCAGCGGTGACAAAATGGAGGTGACAAAATGGAGGGCACAGCAGTGACACGGTGATGGTGGCAGTGGTGACACAACGGAGGGGACACAACGGGGGTGACCAGTGGTGACACAGAGGAGGTGACAGTGGTGACACAGAGATGGTGACAATGGTGACATAGTGGGGGTGGCATTGGTGACACAGTGGAGATGACAATAGCGTCACAGCAATGGTGGCAGTGGTGACACAGTGATGGTGCCACTGGTGACCAAATGGAGGTGACAATGAGGACACAATGGAGGTGACAATGGTGACACAGCGATAGTGACAGTGGGGACACAATGGAGGTGACACTGGTGACCAAATGGGGGTGGCAGTGGTGACACAGCGACGGTGGCAGTGATGGTGGCACAGGGATGGTGACAATGGCGACACAGAAATGGTGACAATGGTGACACAATGGAGGTGACAATGATGACACAGAAATGGTGACAATGGTGACACAATGGGGGTGGCAGCGGTGACACAGCGATGGTGGCAGTGGGGACACAATGGAGGTGACACAGCGACGGTGACACAGCCGTGGTGACAGTGACCCTGGCAGTGGTGACAATGGTGACACAATGGAGGTGGCAGCGGTGACACAGCGATGGTGACACAGCCGTGGTGACAGCGACCCTGGCAGTGGTGACAATGGTGACGTTGTTCCCCAGAGGGTGTCGGTGGTGGCAGTGGCACGGTGACGGTGGCACGGTGTCGGTGACGGCGGTGGCACGGTGACGGTGGCCTGGTGGCGGTGACAGTGATGGCGGTGACACGGAGAAGGGGACAACGGTGACGCAGCAGCGGTGGCAGCGGTGACATGGCAGCGGTGACACGGCGGTGGTGACGGCGATGGCCTGACGGTGACAGTGGTGGCAGTGACACAGCGAAGGTGACAGCGGTGACACGGCAGCGGTGGCACAGCCGTGGTGACAACAGTGACACTGTGACACAGTGACAGTGACACAGTGACACAGTGACATTGACAGTGACAGTGACACAGTGACAGTGACACAGTGACACAGTGACATTGACAGTGACAGTGACACAGTGACAGTGACACAGTGACAGTGACACAGTGACAGTCACACAATGACACAGTGACATTGACACAGTGACAGTGACACAGTGACAGTGACACAGTGACACAGTGACACAGTGACAGTGACATTGACACAGTGACAGTGACACAGTGACAGTGACACAGTGACACAGTGACACAGTGACAGTGACAGTGACACAGTGACAGTGACACAGTGACAGTGACAGTGACACAGTGACAGTGACACAGTGACAGTGACACAGTGACAGTGACAGTGACACAGTGACAGTGACACAGTGACAGTGACACAGTGACACAGTGACAGTGACACAGTGACAGTGACAGTGTGACAGTGACACAGTGACACAGTGACAGTGACACAGTGACAGTGACAGTGTGACAGTGACACAGTGACAGTGACAGTGACACAGTGACACAGTGACAGTGACAGTGACACAGTTACACAGTGACAGTGACACAGTGACAGTGACAGTGACACAATGACACAGTGACAGTCACACATTGACACAGTGACAGTGACAATGACACCCTGACAGTGACACAGTGACACAGTGACAGTGACAGCCACACAGTGACAGTGACACAGTGACACAGTGACAGTGACACAGTGACAGTGACACAGTGACACAGTGACAGTCATACAATGACACAGTGACAGTCACACAATGACACAGTGACAGTCACACATTGACACAGTGACAGTGACAATGACACCCTGACAGTGACACAGTGACACAGTGACATTGACACACTCACAGTGACACAGTGACATTGACAGTCACACAATGACACAGTGACGGTGACAGTGACACAGTGACAGTGACACAGTGACACAGTGACAGTGACACAGTGACACAGTGACAGTGACAGTGACAGTGACACAGTGACAGTGACACAGTGACACAGTGACAGTGACACAGTGACACAGTGACAGTGACAGTGACAGTGACACAGTGACACAGTGACATTGACAGTCACACAATGATACAGTGACGGTGACATTGACACCCTGACAGTGACACAGTGACACAGTGACATTGACAATGACACCCTGACGGTGACACAGTGACACAGTGATACAGTGACATTGACACAGTGACATTGATAGTCACACAATAACACAGTGACAGTGACAATGACACCCTGACGGTGACACAGTGACGTTTTCAGTGACAGTGACACAGTGACATTGACAGTGACAATGACACAGTGACAGTGACACAGAGGCAGTGACAGTCACACAATGACAGTGACAGTGACAATGACACCCTGACAGTGACACAGTGACATTAACAGTGACACAGTGCCACCCTGACAGTAACACAATGACATTGTCGGTGACAGTGCCACCCTGACGCGTCCCCGCTGTCCCGCACAGGTGACAGAGTACCGGGTGTGCGCCCCGCGCCCCCTGGGCCGCCTGTTGCTGCTGCGGGTGCACAAAGGGCCCTGCGGGGGCCTCCCCGACAGCTCCTGGTACCTGGAGAGCGTCACCGTCTGGGGACCGCGCGGGGACACCCCCGGGGACACCCCCGGGGACACCCACGGGGACACCTGTGACACCCCCGGGGACACCTGTGACACCCCCGGGGACACCTGTGACACCCCCGACACCTCCGACAGCGAGGACAGCGAGGACAGCCCAGACGAGGAGGAGGAGGAGGAGGAGGAAGGTGACACTGAGGAAGAGGAGGAGGACACAGGTGACAGCGAGGGGACAGGTGACACCGACGAGGAGGAGGATGAGGAGCTGGAGGAGGAGGAAGAGGACAGCGAGGGTGACACGGAGGACAGCGAGGGGGACATCGGTGATGCCGCCGCAGGTGAGGCTGGTGGCGTGGGGGACACCTGTGAGGGCACAGGTGATGTCACCTGACAGGTGACATCACCTGAGAGGTGACACCTGTGCACTCCAGGTGACATCACCCCCACAGGTGACACCCTTGAGGGCATAGGTGACACCACCCCAACAGGTGACACCTGTAATCGCATAGGTGATGTCACCCCTGGAGGTGACACCTGTGCACTCCAGGTGACATCACCTGACAGGTGACACCTGTGCCAATACAGGTGACATTACCTGACAGGTGACACTTGGGGTGGCACAGATGACGTCACCTGACAGGTGACACCTGTGCACTCCAGGTGACACCACCTGACAGGTGACACCTATGGTGGCACAGGTGACATCACCGGACAGGTGACACCTGTGACAATATAGGTGACGTCACCTGAGAGGTGACACCTGTAATGGTACGGGTGATGTCACCCCTGCAGATGACACCTGTAATCGCATAGGTGATGTCACCCCTGCAGGTGACACCTGTGGTGGTACAGGTGATGTCACCCCCCCAGGTGACACCTGTAATGGCACAGGTGACATCACTCCTGCAGGTGACACCTGTGGTGGCACAGGTGACATGACCTGACAGGTGACACTGTGCCACCCCAGGTGACGTCACCCCCGCAGGTGCCACCTGTGCACTCCAGGTGATGTCACCTGACAGGTGACACCTGTGACAACAGAAGTGACATCACCTGACAGGTGCCACCTGTAATGGCACAGGTCATGTCACCCCTACAGGTGACACCTGTGCACCCCAGGTGACACCACCTGACAGGTGACACTTGTAATGGCTCAGGTGACATCACCTGACAGGTGACACCTGTGCACTCCAGGTGACATCACCTGATAGGTGACACCTGTGATGGCACAGGTGATGTCACCCCTGCAAGTGACACCTGTGGTGGCACAGGTGACGTCACACCCACAGGTGACACTTGAGGAACTCCAGGTGATGTCACCCCCACAGGTGCCACCTGTGCCACCCCAGGTGACGTCACCCCCACAGGTGACACCTGTGCACTCCAGGTGACACCACCTGACAGGTGACACCTGTAATGGCACAGGTGACATCACCCCAACAGGTGACACCTGTAATGGCACAGGTGACGTCACCTGACAGGTGACACCCGTAATGGCACAGGTGATATCACCTGAGAGGTGCCACCTCTCCCCCCGCAGGTGACATCACCCCCACAGGTGACACCTGTGCACTCCAGGTGACATCACCTGACTGGTGACACCCGTGATGGCACAGGTGACACCACCTGACAGGTGCCACCTGTAATGGCACAGGTAATGTCACCTGACAGGTGCCCCTGTCCCCGCAGGTGACCCCGATGACGTCGCTGAGCTGGGCCCGTTCCACTTCCCGTGTTACCGCTGGCTGCAGGGCTACGGCACCTGGGAGCTGCCCGAGGGCACAGGTGGGGACACCTGGGACACCTGGGGCACATCTGGGGACAGCTGGGGACACCTGGGGACAGCTGGGGACACCTGGGGACACCTGGGGACACCTGGGGACAGCTGGGGCACACCTGGGGTACCTGGGAGCTGCCCGAGGGCACAGGTGGGCACACCTGGGACACCTGGGGACACACCTGGGGACAGTTGGGGCACCTGGGGCTCACCTGGGGCACACCTGGGGACACTTGGGGACAGTTGGGGACACACCTGGGACACACCTGGGGTACCTGGGGACACCTGGGGACAGCTGGGGACACACCTGGGGACAGCTGGGGCACCTGGGGTGACACCTGGGACAGTTGGGGACACAGCCGGGGCACACCTAAGCACACCTGGGGTACCTGGGGACAGTTGGGGACACACCTGGGCACACCTGGGGACACACCTGGGGACACGTGGGGGCACCTGGGGCACTTGGGGACACACCTGGTGGGACACCTGGGGCACACCTGGGGACACACCTGGGCACACCTGGGGACACCTGGGGCACTTGGGGGCAGCTGAGACACACCTGGGGCCACCTGGGGGGACACCTGGGACACCTGGGGAGACCTGGGGACACACCTGGGACACACCTGGGACAGCTGGGCAAAGCTGGGGACACACCTGGGGACAGCTGGGGACACACCTGCGAGGGTGGGGGACACTCCTGGGGGGGTTGGGACAGTGCTGGGGACACACCTGTGACACCTGTGTCACACCTATGTCGCTGTGTCACCTGTGTGTCACACCTGTGTCACACCTGTGTCATCTGTGTCACACCTGTGTCATCTGTGTCACACCTGTGTCACACCTGTGTCACACCTGTGTCACCTGTCCCTCAGCCCGCACTCCGGCCATGGAGCGACACCCGCGGCTGCAGCGGCAGCGCCGGCGGTACCTGGTGCAGCAGCGGCGCCGCTACAGGTGAGGGACGGGTGGCGGTGTCACCTGGGGGGGTGTGACACGGCCAGGTGTGTGTGTGATACCCCAGGTGTGTGTGTGACACCTGTGTGTGTGTGTGACACGGCCAGGTGTGTGTGTGACACCTGTGTGTGTGTGTGTGTGTGTGTGTGTGACACCTGTGTGGGTGTGTGACACCTGTGTGACACCTGTGTGGGTGTGTGGGTGTGTGTGTGTGTGACACCTGTGTGACACCTGTGTGACACCTGTGTGTGTGTGTGTGTGTGTGTGGCAGCCCAGCTGTGCCCAGCTGTGCCCAGGTGTGCCCAGGTGTATCTCAGGTGTATCCCAGCTGTGCCAGGTGTGCCCAGGTGTATCTCAGGTGTCTCTCAGGTGCCCCCAGCTGTACCCAGGTGTATCTCAGGTGTAACTCAGGTGTATCTCAGCTGTGCCCAGGTGCCCCCAGCTGTATCTCAGGTGTCTCAGCTGTGCCCAGGTGTGTCTCAGCTGTATCTCAGGTGTGCCTGGGTGTATCTCAGGTGTGCCCAGGTGTATCTCAGGTGTATCCCAGGTGTGCCCAGGTGTTCCCCCAGGTGTGTCTCAGGTGTATCTCAGGTGTATCTCAGGTGTATCTGAGGTGTATCTCAGCTGTCTCTCAGGTGTAACTCAGGTGTATCTCAGGTGTAACTCAGGTGTGCCCAGGTGTATCAGAGGTGCCCCCAGGTGCCCCCAGCTGTGCTCAGGTGCCCCCAGGTGCCCCCAGGTGGCCCCGCTGTGTCTCAGGTGTATCCCAGGTGTATCTCAGGTGTATCTCAGGTGTGTCTCAGGTGCCCCCAGCTGTCTCTCAGGTGTATCTCAGGTGTCTCAGGTGTGTCTCAGGTGTGTCTCAGGTGTAACTCAGGTGTGTCTCAGCTGTGCCCAGGTGCCCCCAGGTGCCCCAGCTGTCTCTCAGGTGTGCCCAGGTGTATCCCAGCAGTGCCCAGCTGTCTCTCAGGTGTGTCTCCCTGCCCAGGCTAGCTCCCTTTGCCCCGGGCCTGCCCTGGGCGCTGCCCCTGGGGACGCCGCTGGAGCCCGACCTGAGCTTCACCCTGGCCAAGGCCTCGGCCTTCTACCTGCGGGGCACTGCGGCGTGAGTGACCCCTGACCCCTGACCCCTGAGTGACCCCTGAGTGACCCCTGAGTGACCACTGAGTGACCCCTGACCCACCCTGACCCACCCTGACCCACCCTGACCTGAGCTTCTCCCTGGCCAAGGCCTCGGCCTTCTACCTGCGGGGCACTGCGGCGTGAGTGACCCCTGACCCCTGACCCCTGAGTGACCCCTCAGTGACCCCTGAGTGACCCCTGACCCAGCCCCACCTGAGCTTCTCCCTGGCCAAGGCCTCGGCCTTCTACCTGCGGGGCACTGCGGCGTGAGTGACCCCTGACCCCTGACCCCTCAGTGACCCATCCCTGACCCCTGACTGACCCCTCAGTGACCCCTCAGTGACCACTGAGTGACCCCTGACCCCTGACTGACCACTGACCCCTGACTGACCACTGACCCCTCAGTGACCTCTGAGTGACCACTGACTGACCACAGACCCATCCCTGACCCCTGAGTGACCCGAGTGACCCCTGAGTGGCCACTGACCCCTGAGTGACCCCTGACTGACCCCTGAGTGACCACAGACCCATCCCTGACCCCTGAGTGACCCAAGTGACCACTGACCCCTGACTGACCACTGACTAACCCCTGACTGACCACTGAGTGACCCCTGAGTGACCCGTGACCCCTGAGTGACCCCTGAGTGACCCCTGAGTGACCCCTGAGTGACCCCTGAGTGACCCGTGACCCCTGAGTGACCAATGAGTGACCCCTGAGTGTCCCCTGAGTGACCTCTGACCCCTGAGTGACCACTGACCCCTTCAGTGACCCCTGAGTGACCACTGAGTGACCACTGACCCCTGAGTGACCACTAAGTGACCACTGACCCTTCACTGACTGACCCCTCTCTGACCCCTGACCCCAAACCTGACCCTGCACACGCCCTCCCCCCCGTCCCCAATGTCCCCAATGTCCCCAATGTCCCCAATGTCCCCAATGTCCCCAACCCCCACAGTGTCCCCAATGTCCCCAATGTCCCCAAATGTCCCCAAATCCCCAATGTCCCCACTGTCCCCCCCAATGTCCCCAATCCCCCCAATGCCCTCGATGTCCCCAATGTCCCCAATGTCCCCAATGTCCCCAATGTCCCCATGTCCCCAATGTCCCCAATGTCCCCACTGACCCCAATGTCCCCAATGTCCCCAATGTCCCCAATGTCCCCACTGACCCCAATGTCCCCAATGTCCCCACTGTCCCCAATCCCCCAATGTCCCCAATGTCCCCAATGTCCCCAATGTCCCCAATGTCCCCAACCCCCCCAATGTCCCCCCAATGTCCCCAATGTCCCCTCGCTGTCCCCAGGAACCTGCAGGCCAAGCTCAGGGGGTTCCTGGCCCGGCCCTGCTCCTGGCCCAGCGTGGAGGCCATGGGCCGCGTGTTCCAGAGCTTCCACACGCCCGTCACCGGTGGGGACACGGGACAGCGGGACGGGGGGGACATTGGGGACAGTGGGGACAGTGGGGGCATTGGGGACATTGGGGACATTGGGGACATTGGGGACATTGGGGAAATTGGGGACATTGGGGACATTGGGGACATTGGGGAAATTGGGGACATTGGGGACATTGGGGGGATTGGGGGGACATTGGGGACATTGGGGACATTGGGGAAATTGGGGACATTGGGGACATTGGGGGGATTGGGGGGACATTGGGGACATTGGGGGGATTGGGGACATTGGGGACATTGGGGACATTGGGGACATTGGGGACATTGAGGGGACATTGAGGGGACATTGAGGGGACATTGAGGTATTGGAGGGATTTGGGATATTTGGGGACATTGGGAATCTTGGGGGATTTGGGACATTGACGACACTGGGGGGACATTGGGGATATTGGGGACGTTGGGGGGTTGGGGACATTGTGAGGACATTTGGGGACAGTGGGGACCGGGGGGATTTGGGGCACTGGGGACATTGAGGACATTGAGGTGTTGGAGGGATTTGGGTGGTTTGGGGACATTGATGACACTGGGGGGACATTGGGGACAGTGGGAACATCAGGGACATTGGGGGGTTGGGGACACTGGGGACAGCGGGGACAGGGGGGGGATTTGGGACATTGGGGACATTTGGAGCACTGGGGACATTGAGGACATTGGGGACATTGGGGACATTGAGGGGACACTGGGGACATTGGGGTATTTGGGGACAGTGGGGACATTGAGGGGACATTGAGGTATTGGAGGGATTTGGGATATTTGGGGACATTGGGAATCTTGGGGGATTTGGGACATTGACAACACTGGGGGGACATTGGGGACATTGGTGGGGTTGGGGGGATTCGGGATATTTGGGGACATTGGGGGGACAGAGGGGACATTGGGGTGATTTGGGGACATTGGGGACATTGGGAGATTTGGGACATTGGGGACATTGAGGGGACATTTGGGGGATTTGAGATATTGGGAACCTTGGGGACATTTGGGGGGTTGGGGACATTGAGGGGACATCAATGGGGACACTTCGGGGACACTGTGGGGACACTGAGGTGACACTTTGGTGACACTTCGGGGACACTGTGGTGACACTGAGGTGACACTGAGGTGACACTGTGGGGACACTGAGGTGACACTTTGGTGACACTTCGATGACACCGGGGCCGTTGCGTGTGGGGCCGACATAAATTTGGTGGATCCCGGAGGCGATTTCGGGGATCCCAAAACTTTTTGGGGTTACCAGGGAGGGTCCTGGGGGTGTCTGAGCAGTTGGGGGGTGGCCTGGGGGATGTCCCCAAGTGTCCCCAATGTCCCCAATGTCCCCCCCGTGTCCCCAGAGTACGTGGTGCGGCACTGGCAGGAGGACGCGTTTTTCGGGGAGCAGTTCCTGAGCGGGGTGAACCCCGTCCTGCTGCGCCGCTGCCGCCGCCTGCCCCCCAACTTCCCCGTCAGCGAGGCCGTGGTGGCGCCCAGCCTGGGCCCGGCCACCTCCCTGCGCCGCGAGATGGAGGTGGGCACCCCAGAAACCCTAAAAACCCTAAAATCGCCCCAAAAAACCTAAAAACCCCCAAAACGTCCCTAAAACACCCCAAAAACCCCAAATAAATCCCCAACCAAACACCCCCATGGTGACCCCCAGCCTGGGCCCGGCCACCTCCCTGCGCCGCGAGATGGAGGTGGGCACCCCGAAATCCCAAAAAACCCCAAATTCACCCCAAAAATCAATAAAAACCGAAAAATCCCCAAAAAACCCTAAATCATCCCAAAATCCCAAATAAAAACCCCAACCAAACACCCCCATGGTGACCCCCAGCCTGGGCCCGGGCACCTCCCTGCGCCGCGAGATGGAGGTGGGCACCCCCAAACCCCAAAAAAACCCAAATTCACCCCAAAAATCCATAAAAACCCCAAAAATCCCAAAAAAACCCCAAAAATCCCAAAAAACCCAAAATCATCCCAAAAACCCCAAATAAAACCCCAACCAAACACCCCCATGGTGACCCCCAGCCTGGGCCCGGGCACCTCCCTGCGCCACGAGATGGAGGTGGGCACCCCAAAATCACAAAAAACCCTAAAATCAGCCCAAAAAACCTAAAAATCCCAAAAATCCCTAAAAAACCCTAAATCATCCCAAAAAACCCCACAAACACCCCAAAATCTCCAACCAAACACCCCCATGGTGACCCCCAGCCTGGGCCCGGCCACCTCCCTGCGCCGCGAGATGGAGGTGGGCACCCCGAAATCACAAAAAAACCCCAAAGAGAAACCCCAAAATCCATAAAAACCCCAAAGAGAAACCTCAAAAACCCTAAAAACCCCAAAGAAAAACCCCAAAATCCATAAAAACCCCAAAAATCCCAAAAAACCCTAAATCATCCCAAAATCTCAAATAAAAACCCCAACCAAACACCCCCATGGTGACCCCCAGCCTGGGCCCGGCCACCTCCCTGCGCCGGGAGATGGAGGTGGGCACCCCGAAATCACAAAAAACCCTAAAATCACCCCAAAAATCCTAAAAACCCTAAAAAACCCAAAAAACCCCAAAAAAACCCCAAAGAGAAACCCCCAAAACCCCAAATAAAACCCCCAACCAAACACCCCCATGGTGGCTCCTGCACCAGGAGATGGAGGTGGGCACCCCAAAATCCCTAAAAAACCCAAAATCACCCCAAAAAACCTAAAAACCCCCAAAAATCCCAAAATCCCAAAATCACCCCAAAGAAACACCCCAAAAACCCCAAACAAACACCCCAAAATCCCAACCAAACCCCCCCATGGTGACCCCCAGCCTGGGCCCGGCCACCTCCCTGCGCCGCGAGATGGAGGTGGGCACCCCAAAACCCCAAAAACCCCAAAAATCCCAAAAAATCCCAAAAAAACCCAAAACCATACAAACCCGCCAAAAAAACCCCAAAGAAAAACCCCAAAAACCCCAAATAAAACCCCAACCCAACACCCCCATGGTGACCCCCAGCCTGGGCCCGGCCACCTCCCTGCGCCGCGAGATGGAGGTGGGCACCCCGAAATCACAAAAAACCCCAAATTCACCCCAAAAACCCTAAAAACCCCAAAAATCCCAAAGAGAAACCTCAAAAACCCCAAATAAAAACCCCAATAAACACCCCCATGGTGACCCCCAGCCTGGGCCCGGGCACCTCCCTGCGCCGCGAGATGGAGGTGGGCACCCCAAAATCCCAAAAAAACCCAAAAATCCCAAAAAAACCCTAAATCACCCAAAAATCCCTAAAATCACCCCAAAAGCACCAAAAACCTGAAAGAAAATCCCCAAAATCCCAAAGAAAATCCCCAACCAACCACCCCCATGGTGGCCTTTGTGCCAGGAGATGGAGGTGGGCACCCCAAAATACCTAAAAACCCCAAAAATCCCAACAAAACCCTAAAAACCCCAAAAAATCCCAAAGAGAAACCCCAAAATCCCGAAAAACCCCAACCAAACCCCCCCATGGTGACCCCCAGCCTGGGCCCGGCCACCTCCCTGCGCCGGGAGATGGAGGTGGGCACCCCAAAATCCCAAAAAACCCCAAATTCACCCCAAAAATCCTAAAAACCCTAAAAAACCCAAAAAACCCCAAAAAAACCCCAAAGAGAAACTTCAAACACCCCAAAAACACCCCCATGGTGACCCCCAGCCCGGGCCCGGCCACCTCCCTGCGCCGGGAGATGGAGGTGGGCACCCCAAAAACCCTAAAAACCCTAAAATCGCCCCAAAAATCCTAAAAACCCCAAAATTCCCAAAAAAACCCTAAAAACTAAAAAAAAATCCCAAATAAAAACCCCAACCAAACACCCCCATGGTGACCCCCAGCCCTGCCCGGGCACCTCCCTGTGCCAGGAGATGGAGGTGGGCACCCCAAAACCCCTAAAAAACCCCAAATTCACCCCAAAAATCCTAAAAACCCCAAAATCATCAAAAACCCCAAAGAAAACCCAAAAAAACCCCGGGAAACACCCCAAAAACCCCAACCAATGACCCCCATGGTGACCCCTGCACCAGGAGATGGAGGTGGGCACCCCAAAATCCCAAAAAAACCCAAAAATCCCAAAAAACCCCCAAAATCCCCAAAAAACCCTAAAATCCCCCAAAACCACCAAAAGCCCCAAAGAAAATCCCCAAAATCCCAAAGAAAACCCCCAACCAACCACGCCCATGGTGGCCCCTGTGCCAGGAGTTGGAGGTGGGCTCCCCTAAATCCCAAAAAACCCCAAATTCACCCCAAAAATCCCAAAAAAGCCCCTAAATCACCCCAAAAGTCCCTAAAACGCCCCAAAAAGCCATAAAAACCCCCAAAAAACCCCACAATCACCCCAAAAACCCCAACCAAACACCCCCATGGTGACCCCCAGCCTGGGCCCGGGCACCTCCCTGCGCCACGAGATGGAGGTGGGCACCCCAAAATCACAAAAAACCCCAAAAATCACCCCAAAAAACCTAAAAACCCAAAACCACCAAAAAAACCCCAAAAATCCCAAAAAAACCCTAAAAACCCCAAAAATCCCCAAAAAACCCTAAAATCCCCCAAAACCACCAAAAACCCCAAAGAAAATCCCCAAATCCAAAATAAAATCCCCAGGATTTGGTTTTTTTTTCCCAGGATTTAAGTTTATTCCTGGATTTGGGTTCTTTTTTCCCAGGATTTGGGGTTTTTCCCCAGGATTTGGGTTTTTCACCAGGATTTGGATTTTTCCCCAGAATTTGGTGGTTTTTTTCCCAAGATTTGGGTTTTTTCCCCCAGGATTTCGGTTTTTTCCCAGGATTTGGGTTTTTTTCCCAGGATTTGGGTTTTTTTCTCAGAATTTCGTTTTTTTTCCCCAGGATTTGGGTTTTTCCCCAGGATTTGGGGTCTTTTTCCCAAGATTTGGGTTTTTTTCATGGATTTGGGTTTTTTCCACAGGATTTGGGGTTTTTCCCCAGAATTTGGGGTTTTTTTCTTAGGATTTGGGTTTTTTCCCAGGATTTGGGGTTTTTTTTCCCCAGGATTTCAGGTTTTCCCCAGGATTTGGGGTTTTTTCCCAGGATTTGGGTTTTTTTTTCCCAGAATTTGGGTTTTTTTTCCCCAGGATTTGGGGTTTTTGGGGTGTTTCTGATTTTGGGGTGTCCCCAGGCAGGGAACATCTACCTGGCCGATTACGGGGTGCTGGGATTTGGGTTTTTTTCCCAGAATTTGGGGTTTTTTGAGGGATTTTAGGGTTTTTATGTATTTGGGGGATCCCAGCCTGGGGGTCCCACTGATTTTTGGGGTGTTTCTGATTTTGGGGTGTCCCCCAGGCAGGGAACATCTACCTGGCCGATTATGGGGTGCTGGGATTTGGGGTTTTTTCCTGGATTTGGAGTTTTTTCCCCAGAATTTGTGGGATTTTCCCAGGATTTGGTTTTTTTTTCCTCAGGATTTGGGGTTTTTGGGGTGTTTCTGATTTTGGGGTGTCCCCAGGCAGGGAACATCTACCTGGCCGATTATGGGGTGCTGCAGGGGATCCCCACCGCCCTCATCGACGGCCGCCCCACCTTCGTGGCCGCCCCGCTCTGCCTCCTGCACCAGCGGCCCAACGGCGACCTGCTGCCCCTCGCCATCCAGGTGGGACCCCAAAACCCCAAAAATCACCCCAAAAACCCAAAAACCTACCCCCAAAACCCACCCCAAAACCCAGAAACCAACCCCGACCCCAAAAACCCCAAAAATGGACACCAAAACCCCAAAAATGGGCCCAAAAAATCCCAAAATGGGCCCCAAAAAACCAAAAATGGACCCCAAAAACCCACCCCAAAACCCAAAAACCATCCTGGGCCCCAAAACCACATAAATGGGCCCCAAAAACCCGCCCTAACCCCAAAAACCCAGAATGGAACCCAAAAACCCACCCCAAAACCCAAAAACCAACCCGGACCCCAAAAACTCAAAAATGGACCCCAAGAACTCACCCCAAAACCCAAAAACCAACCCGGGCCCCAAAAACCAAGAAACGGACCCAAAAACCCAGAAACGAAACCCAAAAACCCCAAAAACGGACCCCAAAACCCCAAAAATGGACCCCAAAAACCAACCCGGGCCCCAAAACCCCAAAAACGGACCCCAAAACCCACCCCAAAACCCAAAAACCCACCCGGGCCCCAAAAACCCAAAAATGGACCCCCAAAACCCCAAAATGGGCCCAAAAAACCCAAAAATGGACCCCAAAAACTTGTCCCGACCCCAAAAACCCAAAAATGGACCCCAAAAACCCGCCCCAAACCCCAAAACCCAACCCTGCTGCACCAGCGCCCCAACGGCGACCTGCTGCCCCTCGTCATCCAGGTGGGACCCCAAAACCCCAAATCTCACCCCAAAAACCCACCCCGACCCCAAAAACCTGGAAACGGACCCAAAAACCCAGAAACGAAACCCAAAAACCCCAAAAACGGACCCCAAAACCCCAAAAACGGACCCCAAAACCCCAAAAATGGACCCCAAAAACCAACCCGGGCCCCAAAACCCCAAAAACGGGCACCAAAACCCACCCCAAAACCTAAAAACCCCCCAGGCCCCAAAACCCAAAAACCCACCCAGGCCCCAAAAACCCAAAAAGGGGCCCCAAAAACCCTAAAATGGAACCCAAGAACCCCAAAATGGGTCCAAAAGCCTAAAAATGGACCCCAAAAACCCCAAAACTCACCCCAAAAACCCGCCCCAAACCCCAAAACCCCAAAAATGGAACCCAAAAACCAACCTGGGCCCCAAAACCCCAAAAACGGACCCAAAATACCCACCCCAAAACCCAAAAACCCACCCAGGCCCCAAAAACCCAAAAAAGGGACCCCGAAAACCCCAAAATGGGCCCAAAAAACCCAAAAATGGACCCCAAAAACCCGCCCTGGCCACAAAAACCCAAAAACGGACCCAAAAACCCCAAAAACGGACCCCGGACCCCAAAACCCCGGTGATGCTTTGGGGTCGCTGTGACGGTTTCGGGGTGCCACTTTTGGGGTTCCCTGATGGATTTTGGGGTCCCCTAATGAATTTTGGGGTTCCCTGGTGGATTTTGGATTTCCTGATGGATTTTGGGTTCCCTGATGGATTTTGGGGTTCTTTGATGGATTTTGGGGTGCCCTGATGGATTTTGGGGTTCCCCTGATGAATTTTGGGGTCCCAGTTTGGTGTTCCCTGATGGATTTTGGGGTTCCCTGATGGATTTTGGGACTCCCCTGATGGATTTTGGTGTTCCCTGTTGGGTTTTGGGTTCCCTGATGGATTTTGCTGTTCTTGTTTGGGTTCCCTGATGGGTTTCCGGTTTCCCTGATGGATTTTGGGGTTCCCTGATGGATTTTGAGTTTCCTGTTTGGGGTGCCCCTGATGGGTTTTGGGGTTCCCTGATGGATTTTGGGGTCCATGTGCCAGTTTTTGACATGCCAGTTTGGGGTTCCCTGATGGATTTTGGTGTTCCTGTTTGGTGTTCCCAGCTGAATTTTGGGGTTCTTTGATGGATTTTGGGGTTCCCTGATGGATTTTGGGTTCCCCTGATGGATTTTGGGGTTCTGTGATAGATTTTGGTGTTTCCTAAAGAATTTTGGGGTTTTTGGATGGATTTTGGGGTTTTCCAGCTGCATTTCGGGGTTCCTGAATGGATTTTGGGGTTCCCTAATGGATTTTGGGTTCCCTGATGGATTTTGGAGTTCCAGTTTGGGGTTCCCTGATGGATTTTGGGTTCCCTGATGAATTTCGGGTTCCCGAATGAATTTCGGGGTTCCTTGATGGATTTTGGTCTTCCTGTTTGGGGTTCCCTAATGAATTTCGGGGTTCCCAGCTGGATTTTGGGGTCCCCTAATGAATTTTGGGGTTCCCCGATGGATTTTGGGTTTCGTGACGGATTTTGGTGTTCCTGTTTGGGTTTCCCTGATGGATTTTGGGGTTCCCTGATGGATTTTGGGGTTCCTGTTTGGGGTTTCCTGATGGGTTTCAGGTTTCCCTAATGAATTTTGGGTTCCCTAATGAATTTCGGGTTCCCTGATGGATTTTGAGGTTCCAGTTTGGAGTTCCCTGATGGATTTTGGGTTCCCTGTTGGGTTTTGGGTTCCCTGATGGATTTTGGTTTCCCTAATGAATTTTGAGTTTCCTGTTTGGGTTTCCCTGATGGATTTTGGGGTTCCCAGCTGGGTTTTGGGTTTCCCTGTTGGGTTTTGTGTTCCCTGATGGATTTTGGTGTTCCTGTTTGGGGTTCCCTGCTGGATTTCGGGGTTCTTTGATGGATTTTGGGGTTCTCTAATGGATTTTCGGTTCCCTAATGAATTTTGGGGTGCCCCTGATGGATTTTTGGGTTCCTGTTTGGGGTTCCCTGATGGATTTTGGGTTCCCCTGATGGATTTTGGTGTTCCCTGTTGGGTTTTGGGTTTCATGATGGATTTTGGTGTTCCTGTTTGGGTTTCCCACCTGGATTTTGGGTTTCTTTGATGGATTTTGGGGTTCCCAGCTGGATTTCGGGTTCCCCTGACAGATTTTGGGTTCCCCTGATGAATTTTGGGGTTCTCCTGATGGATTTTGGGTTCCCTGATGGATTTTCAGGTTCCACTTTGGGTTCCCAGCTGGATTTTTGGGTTTTGTGACGGATTTTGGTGTTCCAGTTTGGAGTTCCCTGTTGGGTTTGGGGTTCCCTGATGGATTTTGGGTTCCCCTGATGGATTTTGGTGTTCCTGTTTGGGTTTCCCAGCTGGATTTTGGGGTTCCCGCCTGGATTTTGGGGTTCCCTGATGGATTTTGGGGTCCGTGTGCCAATTTTTCAGGTGCCAGTTTGGGGTTCCCTGATGGATTTCGGGGTTCCCTGGTGGATTTTGGTGTCCCCTGGTGGATTTTGGGGTCCCCTTACCCTTTTGAGGTTTCTATTTGGGGGTTTCTCTAATGAATTTTGGGTTCCCTCTCGGGTTTTAGGTTTCTTGATGGATTTTGGTGTTCCAGTTTGGGGTTCCCTGATGGATTTTGGGTTTCCCTGATGGATTTTGGTTTCCCTAATGAATTTTGAGGTTCCTGTTTGGGGTTCCCTGATGGGTTTGGAGTTCCCCTGATGGATTTTGGTGTTCCTGTTTTGAGTTCCCTGATGGATTTTGGGTTTCCTGATGGATTTTGGTGTTCCTGTTTGGGTTTCCCACCTGGATTTTGGGTTTCTTTGATGGATTTTGGGGTTCTTTGATGGATTTTGGGATTTTCCAGCTGAATTTTGAGGTTCCCTAACGTATTTTGGGGTGTCCCCAGCTATCCCAGGAGCCGGGCCCCTCCGCTCCCCTGTTCGTGCCGCAGGACCCGCCCTGGCTCTGGGCCCTGGCCAAGGCCGGGGGTTCCCCTGCTGGATTTTTGGGTTTCTTTGATGAATTTCGGTGTCCCCTAATGTATTTTGGGGTGTCCCCAGCTGTCCCAGGAGCCGGGCCCCTCCGCTCCCCTCTTCGTGCCGCAGGACCCGCCCTGGCTCTGGGCCCTGGCCAAGGTTTGGGTTCGCAGCGCCGAGTTCCAGGTGCACGAGGCCCTGACGCACCTGCTGCGCTCGCACCTGCTGGGAGAGGTGTTCGCCCTGGCCACGCTGCGCCGGCTGCCCCCGCAGCACCCCCTCTTCAAGGTGAGCCCCAAAAATTCATAAATCACTAAAAAATCCTGTCTGGAAAATCCAAATTGAAAAAAAAAGCCCCAAAATTTCAAAAAAATCCTGCCTGGAAATCACAAATCGCAAAAAAATTCCAGCCCAAAATCCCAAACCCCAAAAAAATCCTAAATTGCAAAAAAATCCCAGCCCCAAAAACCCCCAAATCAGAAAAAAAATCCTGCCCAGAATCCCAAAACCGCAAAAAAATCCTACCCCAAAATCCCAAATAGCAAAGAAATCCTGCCCAGAAAACCCAAACCCCAGCCCAGAAATCCCAAACCCCCAAAAATTCCAAATTCCAAAAAAATCCTTCCCAGAAAACCCAAACCCCGCCAAAAAAATCCTAAATCAGAAAAAAATCCCAGCCCAAAAACCAAAACCACAAAAAAATCCCGTCCTGAAATCCCAAATTGCAAAAAAATTCCAGCCCGAAAACACAAACCCCAAAAAAATCCTGCCCAGAAATCCGGAATCCCAAAAAAAATCATAAATTGCGAAAAAAATCCTGCCCAGAAAACCCAAACTGCAAAAAAAAGCCCAAATTGCAAAAAAATCCCACCTGGAAAACCCAAACACGAAAAGAATCCTGACCAGAAAAACCAAACCCCAAAAAAATCCCAAATCACAAAAAAATCCCAGCCCCAAAATCCCCAAATTGGAAAAAAAATCCCACCCAGAAATCCCAAACCCCAAAGAAATCCTGACCAGAAAACCCAAACCACAAAAGAATCCAGCCCAGAAACCCAAAGCCCCAAAAAAATCGTAAAGCACAAAATAAATGCCACCCTGAAATCCTAAATTGCAAAAAAATCCCGCCCAGAAAACCCAAACCCCCCAAAAAAATCCCAAATCACAAAAAAATCCCGCCCAGAAAACCAAAACCCCAAAAAAATCCTAAATTGCAAAAAAAATCCCACCTAGAAAACACCAAAATGCAAAAAAAATCCTAAATTGCAAAAAAATCCCACCCCCAAAAAAATCCCAAACCCCAAAAAATCCCAAACCCCAAAAAATCTCAAACCCCAAAAAATCCCGAACCCCAAAAAACCCCAAAAAATCCCCAAACCCCAAAAAAACTCCAAACCCCAAAAAATCTCCAAATCCCAAAAAATCTCAAACCCCAAAAAATCCCCAAATCCCAAAAAATCCCCAAATCCCCCAAGTCCCGGTGCCCCACACCCGTTCCCAATGCCCCCCAAGTCCCGGTGCTCCCCAAGTCTCGGTGCCCCCCGTGCCCCACACCCGGTCCCGGTGCCCCACACTGTGCCCCCCTCACCCTGTGCCCCCCATGTCCCGGTGCCCCCCGTCTCACCCCGTGCCCCCGGTGCCCCCCATATCCCGGTGCCCCACACGGTGCCCCCAGTGCCCCCCATGTCCCGGTGCCCCCTAAGTCCCGGTGCCCCACACCTGGTCCCGGTGCCCCCCATGTCCCAGTGCCCTCCAAGTCCCCGTGCCCCCTGTCTCACCCCATGCCCCCCAAGTCCCGGTGCCCCACACCCAGTTCACGGTGCCCCCCAGCTGCTGGTGCCCCACACCCAGTCCTGGTGCCCCACACTGTGCCCCCCTCACCCTGTGCCCCCCGTGCCCCACACGGTGCCCCCTGTCTCACCCGGTGCCCCCTATATCCTGGTGCCCCACACCCAGTCCCGGTGCCCCACACTGTGCCCCCCTCACCCTGTGCCCCCCATGTCCCGGTGCCCCCCAAGTCCTGGTGCCCCCCGTCTCACCCCATGCCCCCCATGCCCCCCGTGCCCCCCAAGTCTCGGTGACCCCCAAGTCCCGGTGCCCCCTCCCCACCTCACAGTGCCCCCCCAGTGCCCCCCATGTCCCGGGGTCCCCCAAGTCCAAGTGCCCCCCATGTGCCGGTGCCCCACAGCAGATGGTGCCCCCAAGTCCCAGTGCCCCACATGGTACCCCCCACGTCCCAGTGCCCCCCATGTCCAGGTGCCCCACACCTGGTCCCGGTGCCCCACATGTCCCAGTGCCCCCTGGTGCCCCCCAAGTCCCGGTGCCCCCCGGTGCCCCACAGCTGCTGGTGCCCCCTCCCCACCTCACGGTGCCCCCCATGTCCCGGTGCCCCCCAAGTCCCGGTGCCCCCTCCACATCTGATGATGCCCCCCAAGTCCCATTGTCCCCCATCTCACCCCGTGCCCCCCATACCCCCCATGCCCCCCATGTCACGGTGCCCCCCATGTCCCGGTGCCCCCCATCTCACCCCATAACCCCCATGGTACCCCCCAGCTGCTGGTGCCCCACACCCGTTCCCGGTACCCCCCGTGCCCCACACGGTGCCCCCTGTCTAACCCCCCCCGGTGCCCCCCAGCTGCTGGTGCCCCACACATGGTCCTGGTGCCCCACAAGTCCCGGTGCCCCCGGTGCCCCACATGTCCCAGTACCCCACACACTTGGTGCCCCCCAAGTCCCGGTGCCCCCCAAGTCCTGTTGCCCCACACCCGGTTCACGGTGCCCCCCATGTCCTGGTGCCCCCCATGCCCCTGTGCCCCCCAAGTCCCGGTGCCCCCCGTGCCCCACACCCGGTCCTGGTGCCCCCCAAGTCCTGGTGCCCCCCAAGTCCCTGTGCCCCCCGTGCCCCCAAGTCCCGGTGCCCCCCAAGTCCCGGTGCCCCCCGTCTCACCCTATGCCCCCCGTGCCCCTCGTGCCCCCCAAGTCCTGGTGCCACCCAAGTCCCCGTGCCCCCAATGCCCCCCATGTCCCGGTGCCCTCCAAGTCCTGGTGCCCCCTGTCTCACCCCGTGCCCCCCATGCCCCCCAAGTCCCGGTGCCCCCCAAGTCCCCGTGCCCCCCATCTCACCCGGTGCCCCCCATGCCCCCCAAGTCCCAGTGCCCCACACCTGGTCCCGGTGCCCCCCAAGTCCTGGTGTCCCCCAAGTCCCGGTGCTCCCCGTGCCCCACACCCGTTCCTGGTGCCCCCCAAGTCCTGGTGCCCCCCAAGTCCCTGTGCCCCCCGTGCCCCCCGTGCCCCCCAAGTCCCGGTGCCCCCTCCCCACCTCACGGTGCCCCCCAAGTCCTGGTGCCCCCCAGCTGCTGGTGCCCCACACATGGTCCCGGTGCCCCACAAGTCCCGGTGCCCCCCATGTCCCCGTGCCCCACACACTTGATGCCACCCAAGTCCCGGTGCCCCCCAAGTCCTGGTGGCCCCCAAGTCCCGGTGCCCCACACCCGGTTCACGGTGCCCCCCAAGTCCCGGTGCCCCCCGTGCCCCCCATCTCACCCGGTGCCCCCCGTGCCCCCCAGCTGCTGGTGCCCCACACGCGGTTCACGGTGCAGATCGGGGCCCTCGCGCGGCGCTTCCTCCTGAACCCCGGCGGGGTCTTCGACCGGGTACGGATTGGGGGGAAATCCCGGGATTTTGGGTAAAAATTTTGGGATTTTGGGTGGAAATCCCGGGATTTTGGGTAGAAATTCCGGGATTTGGGGTGTAAATTTTGGGATTTTGGGTGGAAATTCCGGGATTTTGGGTGAAAATTCCGGGATTTTGGGTAAAAATTATGGGATTTTCGGGGTAAATCCCGGGATTTTGGGTGGAAATTCCGGGATTTTGGGTGTAAATTTTGGGATTTTGGGTGTAAATTCCAGGGTTTTGGGTAGAAATTCCGAGATTTGGGGTGGAAATTCCAGGATTTTGGGTGTAAATTTTGGGATTTTGGGTGGAAATTCCGGGATTTTGGTTGTAAATTTTGGGATTTTGGGTGGAAATTCCGGGATTTTGGGTAGAAATTCCGGGATTTTGGGTACAAATTATGGGATTTTGGGTGGAAATTTTGGGATTTTGGGTGTAAATTCCGAGATTTTGGGTGTAAATTTTGGGATATTGCATGGAAATTCCGGGATTTTGGGTGTAAATTTTGGGATTTTGGGTAGAAATTCCGGGATTTTGGGTGGAAATTCCGGGATTTTGGGTGGGAATTCCGGGATTTTGGGTGGAAATTCCGGGACTTTGGGTTGAAATTTCGGGATTTTGGGTGGAAATCCCGGGATTTTGGGTGGAAATGCCGGGATTCTGGGTAGAAATTCCGGGATTTTGGGTAGAAATTTTGGGATTTTTGGTGGAAATTCCGGGATTTTGGGTGGAAATTCCGTGATTTTGGGTATAAATTTTGGGATTTTGGGTAGAAATTCCGGGATTTGGGGTGGAATTCCCGGGATTTTGGGTGGAAATTCCGGGATTTTGGGTATAAATTTTGGGATTTTGGGTGGAAATTCCGGGATTTTGGGTGGAAATTCCGGGATTTTGGGTGGAAATTTTGGGATATTGGGTGGAAATTCCGGGATTTTGGGTGTAAATTCCGAGATTTTGGGTGTAAATTTTGGGATATTGCATGGAAATTCCGGGATTTTGTGTGTAAATTTTGGGATTTTGGGTAGAAATTCCGGGATTTTGGGTGGAAATTCCGGGATTTTGGGTGGGAATTCCGGGATTTTGGGTGGAAATTCCGGGACTTTGGGTTGAAATTTCGGGATTTTGGGTGGAAATCCCGGGATTTTGGGTGTAAATTCCGGGATTTTGGGTGTAAATTTTGGGATTTTGGGTGGAAATTTTGGGATTTTGGGTGGAAATTATGGGGTTTTGGGTAGAAATTCCGGGATTTTGGGTGGAAATTCTGGGATTTTGGGTAGAAATTTCGGGATTTTGGGTGGAAATTCTGGGATTTTGGGTAGAAATTTTGGGATTTTGGGTGTAAATTCCGGGATTTTGGGTGGAAATTTTGGGATTTTGGGTGGAAATTCCGGGATTTTGGATGGAAATTCCGGGATTTTGGATAGAAATTCCGGGATTTTGGGTGGAAATTCCGGGATTTTGGGTGGAAATTCCAGGATTTTAGGTGGAAATTTTGGGATTTTAGGAGGAAATTCCGGGATTTTGGGTGGGAATTCCGGGATTTTGGGTGTAAATTTTGGGATTTTGGGTGTAAATTCCGGGATTTTGGGTGGAAATTCCGGGATTTTGGGTAGAAATTCCGGGATTTTGGGTGGAAATTCCGGGATTTTGGGTGGAAATTTGGGGATTTTGGGTGGAAATTCCGGGATTTTGGGTGGGAATTCCGGGATTTTGGGTGGGAATAACGGGATTTTGGGTGGGAATAACGGGATTTTGGGTAGAAATTCCGGGATTTTGGGTGTAAATTTTGGGATATTGGGTGGAAATTCCGGGATTTTGGGTGGAAGTTCCGGGATTTTGGGTGGATTTGGGCTGGAATTTCGGGGCCGGGGGTGGCACTGCCGTGTCCCCTCGGTGTCCCCTCGATGTCCCCAATGTCCCCTCACTGTCCCCGGGTCCTGTCAGGCGCTGCTGGGGCGGGATTTGGGTGGAAATATTTGGATTTTGGGTGTAAATTTTGGGATTTTGGGTGGATTTGGGCCGGAATTTCGGGACCGGGGGTGGCACTGCCGTGTCCCCTCGATGTCCCCTCGATGTCCCCAATGTCCCCAGGCGGTGGCGCTGGGCCGGCGGGGGCTGCTGGGGCGGGATTTGGGTTGGAATTTCGGGATTTTGGGTAGAAATTCCGCGATTTTGGGTGTAAATTCCGGGATTTTGGGTGTAAATTCCGGGATTTTGGGTGGATTTTAGCCGGAATTTCGGGACCGGGGGTGGCACTGCCGTGTCCCCTCGGTGTCCCCTCAGTGTCCCCAATGTCCCCTCGCTGTCCCCGGGTCCTGTCAGGGGCTGCTGGGGCGGGATTTGGGTTGGAATTTCGGGATTTTGGGTGGAAATTCTGGGATTTTGGGTGGATTTGGGCCGGAATTCCGGACGGGGGGTGGCACTGCCGTGTCCCCTCGATGTCCCCTCAATGTCCCCAATGTCCCCTCGATGTCCCCAATGTCCCCTCGCTGTCCCCGGGTCCTGTCAGGGGCTGCTGGGGCGGGATTTGGGTGGAAATTTCGGGATTTTGGGTGGATTTGGGTGTAAATTCCGGGATTTTGGGTGGATTTGTGCCGGAATTTCGGGGCCGGGGGTGGCACTGCCGTGTCCCCGCGATGTCCCCTCGATGTCCCCGATGTCCCCAGGCGGTGGCGCTGGGCCGGCGGGGGCTGCTGGCGCTGGTGGCGCGGGGGCTGCGGGCGCTGCGCTGGCGCTCGCTGGTGCTGCCGCGGGACCTGCGACACCGCGGGGTGGCGGCCACCAAGTGCCACCACTTCGGCTGCGACGCCACCAAGGTGTGGCGGGCCATCCGCAGGTGGGGACACGCCCCCGTGCCACCCGATGTCCCCTCAGTGTCACCCTAAATGTCCCCTCAGTGTCACCTCAGTGTCACCTCAGTGTCCCCTCAGTGTCCCCTCAGTGTCCCCTTCAGTGTCCTCTCAGTGTCCTCTCAGTGTCACCTCAGTGTCCCCTCAGTGTCCCCCTCAGTGTCCCCTTCAGTGTCCTCTCAGTGTCACCTCAGTGTCCCCTCAGTGTCCCCTCAGTGTCCCCCTCAATGTCCCCTCAGTGTCACCTCAGTGTCCCCTCAGTGTCACCTCAGTGTCCCCTCAGTGTCCCCTCATTGTCACCTCAATGTCACCCTCAGTGTCCCCTCAGTGTCCCCTCAGTGTCACCTCAATGTCACCTCAGTGTCCCCTCAGTGTCCCCTCAGTGTCCCCTCAATGTCACCTTCAATGTCCCCTCAATGCCACCCTGAATGTCCCCTTGGTGTCCCCTCAGTGTCCCCCTCAGTGTCACCTCAGTGTCCCCTCATTGTCACCTCAGTGTCACCTCAATGTCCCCTCAATGTCCCCTCAGTGTCCCCTCAGTGTCCTCTCAGTGTCCCCTCAATGCCACCCTCAGTGTCACCTCAGTGTCACCTCAGTGCCACCCTCATTGTCACCTCAGTGTCCCCTCGATGTCCCCTCAATGTCACCTCAGTGTCACCTCAGTGTCTCCTCAGTGTCCCCCTCTGTGTCACCTTCAATGTCACCTCAATGCCACCCTGAATTGTCCCCTCGGTGTCCCCTCAGTGTCACCCTCATTGTCCCCTCAATGTCCCCTCAGTGTCACCTCAATGTCCCCTCAATGTCCCCTCAGTGTCCCCTCAGTGTCACCCTCAGTGTCCCCTCAATGTCACCTCAGTGCCACCCTCAGTGTCCTCTCAATGTCCCCTCAGTGCCACCTCAGTGTCCCCTCAGTGTCCCCTCAGTGTCCCCTCAATGTCCCCCTCAATGTCCCCTCAGTGTCCCCTCAATGTCCCCTAAATGTCCCCTCAGTGCCACCCTCAATGCCACCCTCAGTGCCACTCTCAGTGTCCCCTCAGTGTCACCTCAGTGTCCCCAACCCACCCAATGTCCCCAATGTCCCCAATGTCCCCATTGCTGTCCCCAGGTTTGTCACCTCCCTGCTGTCCCTCTGTGACCCCGTTAATATCCTATCAGTGTCCCCAATGTCCCCTCAGTGTTCCCTCAGTTCCACCCTCAGTGTCACCTCAGTGTCCTCCTCAATGTCCCCAAATGCCCCCAATGATGTCCCCAATTCCCCCAATGTCCCCATTGATGTCCTCAGGTTTGTCACAGCGCTGCTGTCCCTCTGTGACCCGTTAATGTCCCCTCAGTGTCCCTAATGTCCCCAATGTCCCCAATGTCCCCAAATGTCCCCAGGTTTGTCACCTCCCTGCTGTCCCCAATCCCCCCAAATGTCCCCGTTAATGTCCCCAATGTCCCCATTGCTGTCCCCAATGTCCCCAATGTCCCCGTTAATGTCCCCACTGCTGTCCCCAGGTTTGTCACCGCCCTGCTGTCCCTCTGTGACCCGTTAATGTCCCCGTTAATGTCCCCGTTAATGTCCCCAATGATGTCCCCAATGTCCCCAAATATCCCCAATGTCCCCGCTGTCCCCAGGTTTGTCACCGCGCTGCTGTCCCCAATGTCCCCGTTAATGTCCCCAGGTTTGTCACGGCGCTGCTGTCCCTGTGTGACCTGTTAATGTCCCCCAATGTCCCCAATGTCCCCAAATGTCCCCGTTAATGTCCCCGTTAATGTCCCCAGGTTTGTCACCTCCCTGCTGTCCCTGTACTACCCAGCGGATGGCGCTGTGGCTCAGGACTCGGAGCTCCAGGAGTGGGTCCGGGAGATCTTCCGCAGAGCGTTCCTGGGCCGGCCGAGATCCGGTGGGCACGGGGGCACGGGGGGGGACAGGGGGGCACAGGTGGGCATAGACCTCCCTCCAGGTGGGCACAGGTGGGCTCAGATCCCTCAAGGTGGGCACAGGTGACCCCTCAGGTGGGCACAGGTGGGCACAGGTGGGCTCAGACCCCCTCCAGGTGGGTACAGGTGACCCTTCAGGTGGGCACAGGTGGGCACAAAGGGGGGCTCAGGTGGGCTCAGGTGTGCACAGGTGGGCTCAGGTGGGAGTTCTGGTGGGCATAGGTGGGCACAGACCCCCACCAGGTGGGCACAGGTGACCCCTCAGGTGGGTTCAGGTGGGCTCAGGTAGGCACAGGTGACCCCCCAGGTGGGCACAGGTGGGTTCAAGTGGGCACAGGTGGGCACCAGGAAAATTTCAGGTGGGGTTTAAGTGGGGTTTAGGTGGGCACAGGTGGGGTCAGGTGGGCACAGACCCCCCCCCAGGTGGGTACAGGTGACCCCTCAGGTGGGCTCAGCTGGGCACAGGTGGGTTCAGGTGGGCTCAGGTGGGCACAAAGGTGGGCACAGGTAACTCCTCAGGTGGGCACAGGTGGGTTCAGGTGGGCACAGGTGGGCACAGGTGAGGTTTGGATGGGCTCAGGTGGCCACAGGTGGAGTCAGGTGGGTTTAAGTGGGGTTCAGGTGGGCTCAGGTGGGCATAGACCCCCTCCAGGTGGGTACAGGTGACCCTTCAGGTGGGCACAGGTGAGATTGGGGGCACACAGGTGGGCACAAAGGGGGGCTCAGGTGGGCACAGGTGGGTTCAGGTGGGCACAGGTGGGCACAGATCCCTCCCCAAGTGGGCACAGGTGGGTTCAGGTGGGCACAGGTGGGCACAGGTTGGGTCAGTTGGGGTTTAAGTGGGGTTCAGGTGGGCTCAGGTGGGCATAGACCTCCCCCCAGGTGGGCACAGGTGGGCTCAGATCCCTCAAGGTGGGTACAGGTGACCCCTCAGGTGGGCTCAGGTGACCCCTCGAGTGGGCTCAGGTGGGATCAGGTGGGCACAGGTGAGGTTCAGGTGACCCCTCAGGTGGGCACAGGTGAGATTGGGGGCACACAGGTGGGCTCAGGTGGGCATAGAGGGGGCGCAGGTGACCCCCAGATGGGTACAGGTCACCCCTCAGGTGGGTTCAGGTGGGTTCAGATGGGCACAGGTGGGCTCAGGTTGGCACAGGTGGGCACAGACCCCCACCCAAGTGGGTTCAGGTGACCCCTCAAGTGGGCTCAGGTGGGCACAGGTGGGTTCAGGTGGGCATAGGTGACCCCTCAGGTGGGCACAGGTGGGCTCAGACCCCCTCCAGGTGGGCACAGGTGAGATTGGGGGCACACAGGTGGGCACAGGTGACCCCTCAAGTGGGCACAGGTGAGCTCAGGTGGGCACAGGTGGGTTCAGGACGGCATGGGGGGCATGGGGCTGGGCAAAGGGGGGCACATGTGACCCCTCAGGTGGGCTCAGGTGGGCACACATCCCTCTAGGTGGGCACAGGTGACCCCTACAGTGGGCTCAGGTGGGCACAGGTGAGCACAGGTGAGCACAGGTGACCCCCCAGGTGGGCAGAGGTGAGATTGGGGGCACACCAGTGGGTTCAGGTGGGCACAGGTGACCCCCTCAGGTGGGCACAGGTGAGATTGGGGGCACACAGATGGGCACAGGTGGGCACAAAGGTGGGCTCAGGTGGGCACAGGTGACCCCAGCTGACCCCTGACCTCTGCCCCCTCCCATGCCAGGTGTGCCCTCCCGGCTGGAGACGCGGCGTGACCTCGTCACCTTTGTCACCGCGGTCATCTTCAACTGCTCCGCACTGCACGCGGCCACCAACAGCGGCCAGGTGAGTGACCACTGACCTCTGAGTGACCCCTGAGTGACCTCTGAGTGACCACTGAGTGACCCCTGAGTGACCCCTGAGTGACCACTGAGTGACCACTGACCAGTGAGTGACCACTGAGTGACCTCTGAGTGACCACTGAGTGACCTCTGAGTGACCTCTGAGTGACCACTGAGTGACCACTGAGTGACTACTGACCAGTGACCCTGAGTGACCACTGCCCCCTGAGTGACCAATGAGTGACCACTGACTGACCACTGACTGACCACTGAGTGACCACTGACCCTGACTGACCCCTGAGTGACCACTGAGTGACCTTTGTCACCGCGGTCATCTTCAACTGCTCCGCGCTGCACGCGGCCACCAACAGCGGCCAGGTGAGTGACCTCTGACCCCTGAGTGACCACTGACCTCTGAGTGACCACTGAGTGACCACTGACTGACCCCTGAGTGACCTTCGTCACTGTGGTCATCTTCAACTGCTCCGCGCTGCACGCGGCCACCAACAGCGGCCAGGTGAGTGACCTCTGACCTCTGAGTGACCCTGAGTGACCCCTGACCACTGAGTGACCCCTGAGTGACCACTGACCTCTGAGTGACCACTGAGTGACCACTGACCAGTGAGTGACCAATGAGTGACCACTGACTGACCCCTGAGTGACCTTTGTCACCATGGTCATCTTCAACTGCTCCGCGCTGCACGCGGCCACCAACAGCGGCCAGGTGAGTGACCTCTGAGTGACCACTGAGTGACCACTGACCCTGAGTGACCACTGAGTGACCACTGACCAGTGAGTGACCACTGACCAGTGAGTGACCACTGAGTGACCAATGAGTGACCTCTGAGTGACCAATGAGTGACCAATGACCACTGACCTCTGACTGACCACTGAGTGACCAATGAGTGACCTTTGTCACCGCGGTCATCTTCAACTGCTCCGCGCTGCACGCGGCCACCAACAGCGGCCAGGTGAGTGACCCCTGAGTGACCACTGACCAGTGAGTGACCAATGAGTGACCATTGAGTGACCCTGAGTGACCCTGAGTGACCCTGAGTGACCCTGAGTGACCACTGACCAATGAGGGACCAATGAGTGACCAATGAGTGACCACTGACCTCTCAGTGACCACTGAGTGACCACTGAGTGACCACTGAGTGACCACTGACCAGTGACCACTGAGTGACCCTGAGTGACCCCTGAGTGACCAATAAGTGACCACTGACCACTGAGTGACCAATGAGTGACTGCTGACCACTGACCCCACCAACAG